AAGGAAATAGATTTTGTAGTTAACTAATTTCCTAGCAATAAAACCCTAGGTACAGATGGCTTTACTGGTGAATTCTATAAAATAGCTATAAAAGATCTAATTCTGCATTATGTCTTGTAGGAAAATAAAGAAATACTTCTGAATTCAAAGTATGAGGCCAGCATAGAATGAGTGTTATCTAGAGCATGTTAGATAATACCCAAGCCAAAGAAAATATTATACTAAAAACTGTAACTCTACCTTTGTCTTGAACATACAATAGTTGTTAAAACTCTTTAACAAGAGGTTGATTAATAGCCATGGAAAGATAAATTCTAAACTGGGTGTGGTGGCACACACCTGTAATCCCAGCACTTGGGAGGCTGAAAACAGGAGAATCACTACGAGTCTGATCTACATAGTGAAACCCTGTACACCCTGTAAACACTGTCCTAAACACAGAAAAGAAAAAAGAAAGAAATTCTAGTGTTCCATTGCACAACATAGTAATTAGAGGTAATGCTCTATATAATTAAAAATAAAGCTAAAAATAATGTTTTCACCACAAAGAAATAGTAAATGCATAAGACAGAGATATTTAGTCTGTATCCCTATCCCCTTTTTTTGTTTAGTTTAATTTTTTTTTTTTTTTTTGGTAGTAATGGAGATGGAACTCAGGACCATGTGCTTGCCAGGCAAGCACTTATTCTACTGGGCTATCTCCCTGGTGAGATATTTAGTCTGACTTGAAAGTTTTATAAAGTTTCTATGTATCAAAACATTACACTGCACAACATAAAAATGTACAATTTATTCATCAATTAAGTTTTTTAAATAGAGCAAATTGAATCCAAAAATATACTTTAAAAAAGCACTATATCATGACTGAATGAGGTTATCTAGAGCATGTTAGATTGCCTTAACATCTGAACGTCAACCAATAAAACTTATATTAACAAATCAAAAATGAAAAGCACACAATCATCTCAATAGACCAAAAAAAAGTATCCGCTGAAATTTAACATCCATTTTTAATGAAAAAACTCTCAGGTAACTAAAAATAGGAAAAAATTTCCTCACCAAGTAAATGTCATCAATAAAAGCCTGTAGTTAGCACTATATTTAAGTATGAAAGTGAATTTCCCACCTATGATCAGGTAGGAGGCAAAGCTATTTGCTTTCATCATTCGTTCTAGAGTTTCTAAGAACTGAAATAAGATATGAAAATGAATTATAAGTATTTAAGATAGAAACAATTAAAACTGCAGATGACACGAATATTTATGCAGAAAATTGAGTAATTTACAAAAAAGATACCAGAACTAATAAGTGAAATTAACAAAATATGAACATTCAAGGCCACTATAAAAAGTCAATTGCATTTTTATATAATAGTAAAAAAAATGAGAATATAAAATAAAAATAATAGTATCAAATAATACTCATGGGTAAATTTGATAAAATTGACAATCACAAATTATTGCTGAGAAAAATTATAAAGACCCTCAATTAATAAGATATGAATGTCTTAAATGTGTTCAGGGATCAGAAAATTTTTATTAGGATATCATTTCTTCCCAAGTTAGTCTTTACGGTTAATGAATTTCAGCAACAATTTTTGTAAAAATTAACAGATTTCAAACATTTTCACAAAAGTATAAAATACAGGATTATCAAAATAATTTTTAAAATAAGTAAATATTTGGGGGAAACTATCTGATTTTAAGACTTATTACAAAACTTATCAAAATAATGTTGAATAACTGTAAAGATGTACACATATTAAGGGGATAAAACAGAGGATATACTTCTGTACATATATGATCAATTTTTAACAAAAGCTCCAAGGTAGTTTGATGAAGACAAGACAATGACAAAGTAATTATTCTGGAACAAGGGATGACCTAACTGTGTAAAGATCTTAACCTTTTATCTCTTTTCATAACTTGTACAAAATTTACTGACAACTCATCTTTGAATAAAATACAAGATTAAAAACAAAGAAAATTCTAGAAGAAAATAGGAGGAATCTTAGTAATACTCAGTTTGGGCAGGGGAAACAAATATAACACAAAGAAAGAAAAAAATGGGTTCTACTAAAAGGATATACTGATGGCAAATAAACATGCGAAAAGATGCCCAATACCACTGGTTATTAGGGAAGTAATAATAATATTCCAAACAGATATCACTCTATTCCCAGTACAGTGACTACAATTAAGGTGGCTGAACATAATAAATGTTGACAAGGATATACAATAGCTCAACTCCGACAGCTCTAAGCAAGAATATAAAATGCTACATCATTGCAGAAAATAGGTTAGCAGGTTTTTTTAAAGGTATACACCCTACTATACAACCTGGCCACCTCTTTCTTGGTTGTTTTCTCAAGAGAAACAATAACATGTGTTCACACAGACTCACATGAATGTTTGTAGCTTTACTTATAATAGCCAAAATCTGTAGACAATACAGATATCCAACAAGGTAATGAATATTTTAAATGTGAAAAATAGTATGGGTAATGGAATGTGGAAAGAAGTAAAATAAAAATACATACAACATAAATGAATTTCAAAATAATCATATTAAATTAAAAAAAACAA